AGACTGCAACAATGTTTCTTCTCTTTGCCTTCCCTTGATTAGATGTCACATCAAATCTAGACTACATAGTATGGGAGAACAAAACAATATTGTACTAAAGGACAAGGATTTTGCTACATCCAAATTGGTGCACAACTTAGGTAAGTTTGATAATCCGATTTTTTCCAGTGCCCATGATAGCAACGTCAAGTGCAGTTACTGGTCATGTGGTTCCTGAGACAACCAGCACAGCATATTTCTACTGATATTTGGGTACACAGCTTCTTTCCATGGAAGGCAAGTCTTGCTGAACATGGAATATCTGTTTTCTTTAAAGCATTTTGTTCCATATAAAGCTCGGCTAATGACTGCTTGCTTGACATTTTCAAACGTACTTCGAAAACAGGCCAGATTTCTCTTAGAAAATTCTGCTAAATTGCTGTGTAAATGGTTACTGAATTAAAAAGGTATGCTATTTTCTGTGTCAAAAGTTCCTTAACATCTGCTATCACATGTTTACAAAACCTTTGTTAGTTGTATGCCATTACAAACGTAAAATTCAATTATTTTTACAGGCAAATGCTTTCTGATTTAAATTCAAAATTACATTCCAACAAAATGTTCTAGCCCTGTGAGGACAAGATAAGGTGACAAGTTTTCCTAACCCATTAATCTACTGTCAGATGACTACTCACAACACTTTTTAAAAGAAGCTATTATTTAGGGAATACACAGAAGTAGGACACAGATTTAAATGAATTCAAAGCAGCATGGATTACATAATGAGAGATTTTAAGGGCATTTCTTTTCTAAACTATTTAATATATGCTGCATGATGCATCTTCCAAGCGCAATTGCATGTATTTTATAACAAATGGAGGTAAACATTCAGCTTGAATTGTCATCCAGATAGACTTCTGATGAGGCAGAAGGCATTAGAAAGAAATGAAACAGCGCTTTAAGTTAATCAGAAAGCTGAATTCTGGTTTCAGGATTAAATGAGCATTTGGCAAAACAAAGGCATTCTGCCTCTAAAGGGGTTTACAACAGATTCTTTAAAAATAAATCTTTAAGTTGACATACAGAAATATAAACAAGCAGGAAAGATATCCTGTTTGCTAGAAGACAAGTCTGATAGTCAAAAATAACAAAGCTTATTTATCTCAGTTTGTTTGGTTCCCACAGATACATTTTTAGAAGTTTAATAACCCCAAAGATGAAGATGATGGCAGCAACATTATCTGATTATTGCACTTTGGATCTGGTTGAAGAATCCTTTGGCAAACAATTTAGTACTAAATTATAATTTTTCTTAAATGAATTTAACCTTGCCTCATTCACAAAAGGCATATTGGATCATATTCTGTGATTAGAATAATCAAAATATAATTACAGTTTAAAAAGAGGTATATTCAACAATGGATTAATTTTAATTGGAAATGCAATGTTCTTTTAGGAATTATTGTTTATAGTATAAATATTCAAGGATGGCATCTGGGATCTATAAAAATTCAAATGCTATTCAATGTTTAGAATAGGTCTAAGAGTTACAGTGGTACCTCGGGTTACGAATTTAATCCATTCCGTGACTCTGGTCGCAACTCGATTT